ATAAAACTTACTTTAAATTGATCAATAGTAACAAATTGATGAAAATATGGAAGAATATCTTCTAATTTCAATAGAGGGCAATCTCTTAATAAATTGATAGCTTCTTGCATACTACCATCAGTACTAATAATATGCTGAGCTGAAAGTGAGAAGAAGAAGAAGAAGAATAACAACATCTCAGATGAACAAAAAAGAAAGGAACAGAATATTCGTTGTAGAGTTAGTCTGTTATCGATATACACATTGTAAAAACAATGGTACATTGTTTAGTAAAACATTTAACTATGACGAAACAATGAAGTATTGAGAATATCATTAGATTGATATGAAAAAGTAGTCTTCAATTGAACAAACTCTTGATAGAATATGAATAGAACATTTTTCCCTGTTTGATTATAAAAGAAGTTTTGTAGAACTCATTGTAAGATTATAATTAATAACGAAGACAGAACTGCGTATATACTGTTTAAATGAGTTTACATAGATTTACCATGTATTACAGATTTATTATAACACTGAAAATGTGGTGTGTACTACTTATGTAGACATAAATAGTATATGATGTTTGTCGTGAACAGAATGTCTGGCAACACAGAGAGACAAGAAGATCGAACAGTAAAGAATGAAAACAGAATGCAATTTGTATAAAAATACAAGAAAAAAGGAATTCTGAGTCATTTGAGACAATTAATGGACATTTTGCTAATTGAGCATTTACTATATGGTTGTTAGATTTTCAATTACAAGTTCTGTAATTTGTTGCCAAATATATTCGATTGTCCTCACTGGTGTTCTTGTTCACTACACTTGATATCGCTGCCAATCGGGAGAGGGAAAGGGTGTTGTTCTGCGGACGCCGTTGCGGGCCTAGAGCTGAGGTGCAGGTTGGGGCAGTATTGTGCGGAGAGGTTACGTCTGGGGGTGTTGTGGCGGGGCGGCGTCGGCTGTAGCGGGTGCTGTCGACGGAGAGGAGCGGTGGGACGTGCGGCTGCTAGGCGGACATCGGATGTAGATGATTAAGCAGGCCGGTGGTGCACGGGTGTCAAACGTCCCAGGTGCCGAGTGGATTTCGGATGTTTGTGCTCCGGCAGTTCGACGAAGCTATGGAGGTCAGCGCACCACAGACTCGACATTTTGACGGAGGGCGTAGCACAGACGAGTGCGGTGTGTGCTACTTATGTAGATATAAGTAGTATATGATGTTAGTCGTGAACAGAATATCTGGCAGCAGACAGACAAGAAGATCGAACAGTAAAGAATGAAAACAGAATGCAATTTGTACGGAAATGCAAGAACAAAGGAAGTGTGAGTCATTTGAGACAATTGATAGACGTCCGATTGTACCCTATTGGTATTCTGTTCACTACAGTAATACTGTAGTGAACGAAGAACTAATGTGGGGATAATCATTTCATTGTTTTATACCAAATTACGGAGTGTCTTCGTTAAAACAAAAAGAAAACTAAACATTAACTGAACAGAGATGAATGATAAATACTAGTGGAATCTACGACGCGCGTTTCGTTTCGAGACTCAAACGTAGTATCTAACGCCATCGCTTTATTCCCTTAGCTACTGAGCCCAGTTAACCGTCAGCTTGTACAATGAGGTGAAGTTTTATTTCATTTTTGTATTGTGTGTTTGAATCTTACTGTTACATTATTTGCATATTTTCCATCATTTTTCTTCCACAAACTTCATCATTCCTTCATTCCTGTTGTGATTTTGATTACTTTCTATTTTCTTCTCTCATTTATTCATTTTAATATTTTGCTCACAGGCCTTCTACTTTCGATTGGAACTACATCTTACTTATATCTGTCAACATAAGTAGTACATACTACAATACTATTTATTGTTCAATACCAAAGTATCAACTCACAATTCAAAAGACAAATTACACTATGTGACAACATGTTAATGACAAATGTTATTAAAAAGGCACTATTGTCATAAGTGGATACTTCCTAAGATTAGTGATCGGCATTACAAAGTCTCAATTGAATACCATATCTATATTTTTATATCGTTATACCCATTCATTATCATATGATAAGATTGCCAATTAGAACACCAATTTATTGACCAGATATCAATGACGTATAAACAACTACAAACAGCCTCGAGTTAACTCTGAGATCTTAATTGGTTCTCTGAGATAATAGCTTCATATTTAACCCAACCGGTTTAGTCCAGAACAATAATATTAGCCTCTGTTATATGAATTCTGTATTTCAGATATATTTGGTTTATATATATATACACACACAAACCAGACTGCATCATATCATAAAATAGAAAATAACAATTCTACTAGATAGGGCCAAAAGTAGCTGTGATTATGAGAGACTTTATTTAATAAATTGAGAGTAACTTAAGAATAGTAAATGGTATAGTAGTAGTCAGTAAGTCGCCCCCAAATGCCCTGGTACGGTCGAGAGTGGGGAGAGTCCGCTCTCCCTCTCGAAATGCTCTCACATGGCCATGCGTATATAGACTCTACCAGGGAAGTCCTACTCACTGCCTTCTCTCGACAGAGGTGTTGTTTACAAAAATGAGAGGACGAAAAGCGAATGTCCGGCGCCTTAACCGGATCCCAAACCAATGGTGCACATGGGCTGGCTTCAGTATCCTGAAGGAACAAATGGCATATGAACCAATTGTTGGTCACCGGCTCCAATGGGACTGCATCTCCTTACGATGCTCCACTGCCTTGTGGGTCAGACGTTTAAGTCGAAGGCTCGGGGTGTGGCTCTCTAAGAAAACCACCTGCTTCGGTTTGGGCACTCGGGCAGTATCACAGCCCTCACACATATCGAATGAGATTTGTGTGTCGCATATGTATTTGGTGCCTCCTTGTACTAATATCTATGTGTTAAAACAAATAAGGTTGCATTTCATTATTCATTTAATGACAAAACCGAATATTCTAGTCCAAAAATGTCTAGCTAAAACTAATACAAGAATTTCAACAAAACCCCTTCAATTAAACTACAACAATCAGCGCCCCCAAATGCCCTGGTACTGCCGAGAGTGGGGAGAGTCCGTTCTCCCTCTCGAAATGCTCTCACATGGTCATGCGTATATAGCCTCTGCCAGGGAAGTCCTACTCACTGCCTTCTCGTGGCGGGGGTGTTGTTTACAAAAATGAGAGGACAAAAAGCGAATGTCTGGCGCTTTAACCGGACCCCAATTCTATGGTGCACATGGGCTCCAGTATCCTGCGGGAACAAATCGCGTATGAACCAATCGTTGGTCACCGGCTACCATGGGACTGCATCTCCTCACGATGCTCTACTGCATTGTGGGTCAGACGTTCAGGTCAAAGGCTCGGGGTGTGGCCCCCTAAGAAAACCACCTGCTTCGGTTTGGGCACCCGGGCAGTATCACAGCCCTCACACAAATCAATTGAGATTTGTGTGGCGCATATGTATTTGGTGCCTCCCTGTACCTATACTTATGTGTTAAAATAATAATAATAATAATAATAATAATAATAATAATAATAATAATAATAATAATACAACAATCAGCTCACTAACAACTTATATGATGATTATCTTAAGGTTCCACCACAGTAGGAAATCGTGACTGGTCGCAGTTCAAATACTTAAGGGAGTAAAACACTTTTGCGGTAGTTGTAGTAAATGATCAAAACGTTGAATAATAAATGGATTGAATTTAGAATTTTACCGATGGGCGGTGATATAGTCATTTTAGTTGTAAAGTGTTCATCCAGAGACTTGAATAATGGAGATTGTATTCCTAGTGAGGTTATGAGTTTGTACAGTTTAGGAGAAATAGATGTACAGTATTAACTGGTTTGCTATGGCAACCCTTTACTGAGTTTCATCTATGATAAATATCATATACAATATCAAACTTGATCTACTAAAAATAGACTTAAGGTAATTCACAAACTTCTTAATTATCATTAAGTATGGTGTGGTACTACCAGTCATTTTTTAGTTACTTTTAACAAATCATTGCTTTTATATTTAATAATATCACGATGCGAAGGAAAAACAGGAAGGTCAAGGTACACATTACGTCGAGAAATAGAAGCGGATATGAAAAGGATGAATAACAACTGGAAAGAACTAGAAAGGATTGCCCAGGACAAGGGTTGGATAGAGAATGCTAGTGAGCGGCCTAAGCTCCTTCACGAGGAGTAACAAGTGTAAGTAAGTAATATCAGGATACGCTACATTAACCACATTTGTGACAGAGACAGTGTCAGATAACTCTATCAACATCCTAGATACAATACTTTTAGTAAACAAACAAAAAAAACACTATGAGAAATTTCAATAGTTGAAATTATGAATCAATTGAAGCTAGACCATCATGGAAAACCTGGAAGCACTGGACGGCCGTTTAGTCCTAGTATGGAACTCCTTAGTGGCAGTGCGCATCCACGATCCCGCCCCCTGCGAGATTCGAACCCAGGACCACCTAGACCACTGAGCTGGCCGGCATCCAACAGTGTTAATGTCTAACTTCAACCAATCCAAGAAGTTGCGCCATCATCACTATTGTCTTCAGTTAGCTGATATCTCACAACAGACCTGGTTGAACTCCACTGGTCACTCACTACTTCTCACTAGAACTCCAGGAATATCTATTGAAGTCAGTCACTAGTGAGCAAATGAGAAATCACAACTTAAACAGTTACTAAGACGATGTATGATACCATATATGACATTGCTTACCTAATTGAATCCATAATTGACGACGTACATTAGAATTCAAGAATTCACTTTGAGCTATTTCTTTAGCAAATGGAATATTATTCTATCAAGAAATTTATGAAAAAAAAAGGTGATTATTTTATTGTACATATAAAAACTGGTAAAAGAAGGTATCCAATATCCATGCGCTACACTTCATCATTCGATTTGTGTGAGGGTTGGAATATTGCCCGGGTGCTCAAACTGAAGCAAATGGTTTTCATAAATCGATCACTCCCCAAGCATTTCATCTAGAGGTTTAATTCACAAGACAGTAGAGCAACGTTAGGAGATGCAGTTCCATTGAGGTCCGTGACCAACAATAGGTTGATACGTTATTTGTTCCTTCAGGATTGTGGAGCCCATGTGGACTATTGGTTTGAAATTGTGATTTTACAACTCTTGTAGTTGAATCCCCATATTCACCAACCTGGTTAAAGAGTCAGACATTCCTTTTTCATCCTCTCAATTTCGTAAACAACGTCAATTACACTTCTTTGAGTTGTCTCTTTCGAACTTCAGTGTTCCTTCATTTCTGCTGTTATTTTAAATGCTTCCAGTTTTTTCTTTTCTTTTCATTTCATTTATATATTTTGTCAGTAAGAATTCCACTTCCCCATAACTGATACACACTGCTTATATCTGACCATGTTAGTAGCACACATCACAATAGTAATACCGTAATTAATGGGAAGTCAGATGAATTCAATGAAAAATTACAGAACATCTTGGTAAAATATGGGAACTATACATTACAATGATTAAAATCATGAGTCAGTTGAAGCTAGACCACCATGGAAAACCTGAAAGCACTGGACGGCCGTTTCGTCCTAGTATGAAACTCTTCAGCAGTGCGCATCCAAGATTCCGCTCCCCGCGAGATTCGAACCCAGAACCTATCAGTCTCGCACCAGGCACTTAATTAACTAGACGACTGAGCCAGCCGGCATCCAACGGTGTTAATGTCTAACTTCAACTAATCCACGAAGTTGCGCCACCGTATATCATTGTCTTCAGTGAGTTACTATGTCACAACAGACCTGGTTAAACTCCACTGGTCACTCACTACTTCTCACTAGAACTCCAGGATATACCTCTTGAAGCCAGTCACTTCCATCAAATATGCTTTACATTCTGTATAATTCTTCAAACTCACAATTCCTTTCTATATTCCATTCTGTTTTCGTTAATTCGATCTTCTTAGCCTTCTGCTTCCAGGCAGTCCCTCTTCTGATACATGTTACATATTACCTATATCCATCTACCTAAATAGCATCAACCACAATGTTAGTAATAGACTAATTGTATTACTAAATGTTAATTTTAACAAATTTTATTGAACTATAAAAAACGTACCAATTCAATGGCTAATTGTAAAGCTTCTTGATGCATATCTAATAATTGTAGTATATAAAGTACACCTTTTAAATGATCAACTTCTTTGCATAAACGAAGCACATAACCAGGATCATAGGGTAACACTATGCAGAAAAAAAAAAGTCAAAATGAACTCTTAAATAAGTAAAAATACTATCCAACTTTAGAGATTAATTTCAATAGTTAAGATAATGAGTCAGTTGAAACTAGACCACCATGGTAAACCTGGGAGCATTGGAAGGCCGTTTCGTCCTAGTATGGAACTCCTCACTGGCAGCGCGCATCCACGACCTCACCCCCTGCGAGATTCGAACCCAGGACCCACTGGTTTCGCGCGTGAGCACTTAACCACTACACCAATGAGCCGGCCAGTATCCAATGGTGTTAATGTCTAACTTCAACTAATCCACGAAATTGAGCGACACATCCACCATTGTCATCAGTGAGTTATTATCTCACAACAAACCTGGTTGAACTCCACTGGTCACTCACTACTTCTCATTAGAACTCCAGGATATACCTCTTGAAGCCAGTCACTAGAGATTAACTCTAAACTATCTAATTCTTCAATATTAGAACACATAATTCTAAATCATTTAGACAAGTGGCATAAATAGGAAATTTGTCAATAAAATTCGATTAGGACTAAAAAGAACCAGACGAATAAAATATGAAATTGTTCATGACACTGTGATTAGTCAGTTGTAAATAGCTTGGTCCAACAGGTCCATTTTAAATCGAACAGCTCATTGAGTAACATATCAAACGATGTTAGGTTTGAACTATACTATGGGGCATTAGTTCCTTGAAGAGTACAGGTAAGTTCCACTGAAAAATGCCAAACAGCACGAAATCTAAGTCAAGAAGGGTTCCGAATCGACTATTTACAACCACCTGGGAGAAAAACTTGATATCTCGATAAGAATAATGAAAGGTAACGGTTGAGATCTATTTATTTTGACCTATGGACTATTATTATACGATTTACCATTCTTAAGTTATGCCCAGTTTATTAATTACAGTCTTCCACAATGACAGCCACTTTTTGGCTTGATCCTGTACAAATATTATGTTCTAATTATGGTGTGATGTAGTCTGTTTAGCTTGTATATAAAACAAGTATGTTTGAAATATATATTTCATATCGCGGAGGTTGAGATTGATATTCTGGATTTAACAGGCAGGGAATCAGGACTCCAGGCTGTTCGTTCAGGTGTATGCATCATTTGTTGATCGTATATGACCACGTATTGAAATTTGGCGATTGCATTCGCGGTAATCGTATAAGCTAAGGATATAACAGTGTTTATCATAAAACTACTCTATTTTACTCCGATTATTAATTGTAACTTATTTATTTATTTATTTTAACACATAGATATTGGTACAAGGAGGCACCAAATACATATGCGCCACACAGATCTCATTCGATATGTGTGAGGGCTGTGATACTACCCGGGTGCCCAAACCGAAACAGGTGGTTTTCTTAGGAGGCCACACCCCAAGCCTTCGATCTAAAGGTCTGACCCACAAGGCAGTGGAGATGCAGTCCTATGATAGCCAGTAACCAACGATTGGTTCATACGCCATTTATTCCTTCAGGATACTGGAGCCAGCCCATGTGCACCATTGGTTTGGGATCCTGTTAAAGTGCCGAACATTCGCTTTTTATCCTCTCAATTTCATAAACAACGCCTCCGCCACGAGAAGTCAGTGAGTAGGACTTCCTTGACAGAGGCTATATACGCTTGGCCATGTGAAAGCATTTGAAGAGAGAGAGCGGACTCTCCCCACTCTCGGCCATACCAGGGCATTTTGGGGCTGCCGGTGACTTACAATAGGTTTATACACCATTTGTTCCTTTAATATACTGGATCTCATGTGCACCATTGGTTTAAAATTAGGGTTTTTTTTAACTCCTCTAAGCGAACTCTCCATATCCACTAAACAACATATCACAAAAAAAAAAAAAAATTGTATTCACACTTACATGACTGAATAGTTTGTTCTTGATTTTGATTTGTTAAACATTTTAATTGATTCATTATATTACTTGTAGAACAATCATCATTATCATGTTCTAACAATGATAATTCAGTTAAATCAATATTCAATAATTGATCATCATTGAATAGATCTTCATTACCGATAAGATTTTTTTGTTTTAAACGTTTCATATGAATAGCATGGATACTAAATTTTTCTAAATATTTCATTAATCTATTATCATTATGATTTAAATGATATTCATTAGCATATAATGATATAAGCATATGATGTATCGCTTGATTGGATATACTTTTATGAGTATATATTTCAATAGTATCTTCTAAGTACTGTATTGCATAATTATTTGGTAACAACATAATTGAAGGTAAAAGTCTATTTTGTAAAGAAATAAAAAAGAGGGAGGGGGAGAGGAGAAAACAAAAAAGAAACGAAACAAATCAATTATAATCAAGCAACAACAAAAAAATAAGATGAATGAAAATTGATCAAAAGAAGTAATTATAGAGCTCATTGAAGACAATGGTGTACGGTAGTACAACTTCGTGGATTAGTTGAAGTTGGATGCCGGCCGGCTCTCAGTGGTCTAGTTGATTAAGCGCCAGGCGCGAGACTGATAGATCCTGGGTTCGAGTCTCGCGGGAAGCGGAATCGTGGATGCACACTGCCACTGAGGAGTCCCATACTAGGATGAAATGGCCGTCCAGTGCTTCCAGGTGTTCCATGGTAGTCTAACTTCAATTGACTCACGATTTCAACCAGTGCAATATGTTTTATATTCAAAATATTGTGCTTCAATGAATTCTCTTTTAAACAGCTGGTTAAAAGGATTAACTGTTAAACTAACCTCTATAGGTAAGTGAAAGCTAACTAACTGGTTAGGGTTTGTACTGTAGTTGTGATCATCGATTTGGAGAAGCTAGATATTTTGAAATGCGATATCCAAAATCTGATATTGATACATAGTGTGCTATACGCTAACCCCACCACCACCACCACCACCAATTGACTACTTGAGCAAGAACATAAGAGTGAGTAAGAAAGTGTATTTGCCTTCCGAATGAAATGCACAAATACTCATTGATTTATATAACACTTTATCCTTGGGAAATTAACCCCCAATGAAATGCACTTGACATTTAGGTCACTTCTGATTGTTATCGATGGACTTTTTACTGCTTATAATTGACTCTCCATATCATTAGATGATATGAAGAAGATATTCACAACTGAGTTCAATTGTGAACTATACTTTTAGTTAAAATGTTTATAAGCTTTTTTTTTCCTAAAATGGATGATTTCACGTTTGGTATGGTTAAAGAAAATATAAATGGGTTTTGGCTAGCACTGAAGTCCAGGATGTGAATTTGGTCTTATTTGAGACTAGTCATATGGATGTACCTACGCCTTAAGTATCATTATTCATATTGACAGTTTAACCTAGTACTTTACGCTTTAAACACCCAATGCAATGTACATCTAGCTACTGAATTCAGATAGCTATTCACTTGCTTAACGAGTATGATGTTTATACTATTCTCAGTAAAAGTTTGAAATAAACGCGAGAGATCTAGAGTTTGAGCGTTCAAGCGCGAGACCCAATGTCCTGGGTTTGAATCCTGCGCGCAGGATTATGGATACACACTGTTGAGGAATCACAAACCAGGGCTCTCTTTAATGAATAAAAATCTTATAATGCTACAGATAACTGATACAAAAGGTCAAGTTTAGTGACATTGGATCTAGTACTTGTTTACACTAAGGAATAAATCTCTAGTGAACAAATTATCTTAGTGTTATATCGTCTGCTTGATTACGGCAGAATACGCTGTATGACGATTGGCACTTGAACGTGTAGAACGCCACAGTTGCAAATCAATAAAATGGAAAAAGCGAAAGAAGCGATTATTAGGTGTGTCCAGAATGAACAGAAAATAGGGGTATTTATAGTTTTTAGTATTGGGTATAACATCATCATAATCAAGCTAATCTACAAGTAGAGAAGGTATACAATTGTTCAATCATAGCATGCCACGTTAACAGTCGGGAAGGTTTTATCAAGTTCTGATTGGACGAACAATCTTTGGCTTCTTCAGAGACTCTGGAGGCTTTGTTAGGTTTCTGGAAGCTATTGCAACACTTAGTTCATAGGATCCTGATTTGGACATGAAACTAATCTATTCTAAAATAGTTTGTAATTCACTAGAAATATATATCCTATGATAAATCTTGTAATTAAACGCCTAGACACTGACTTGCTAATTACTTTCTAGTCCCTGAAATATTCTACTCTTTAAACCTTATCTATTTAATCAATACATTTTATGTCATTCGTCTACTACAATATACAAGTTTATAATAGATGGTTTTTCTTGGGGACACCTAAGAAATTCCTCGAAAAGAACCCAAAAGGGTCCTGGAAACACTGGGAAACATGTTATCCAATCACCATTCAATAGAACTCTCTCGAGAACATCTAGAAAACAAAGAGTCACGAGACACATTCTTGATTGGATGATTACCTATACTGCTACTGTGTTTGACAATGTTCCAGAACTTTCTAGAAGCTCAAGGTCGTCTGAACTGTTATAAATACCCTAGATTTTCTATACATAAATTAACCTTAAAGTAAAGAGTTATTTCCATATGTCTCATCTTTTGTTGTGTAGGATTAACCTGAGTTTATTAGACGATCTATCAGATTTATACTGCACTGTTTTGTGTGAAGTGTGTTTTGATACTATCACAAAGTTTTTGAAATCAAATCTATAAGCATGACACCGCTTTGTTCTCATTCTAATCCACTGCCTCTGTAACAACATGAAGCGGAGTAACACCATGCTGTGTTTCACGTTATTATTGTTGGCTAGATAATCACAACAATAAAACAGTACAATAGTTCAAACGTGAATCATTATGATTATTATTATTATTTATTTGAACACAGATATTGGTACAAGGAGACATCGAATACATATGCGCCACACAGATCTCATTTGAATTGTGTGGGGGTTGTGATACTGCCCGAGTGCCCAAACCGACGCAGGTGGTTTTCTTAGGGGGCCACACTCCGAGCCTTTGACCTAATAATCTGGTCCACAAGGCAGTGAAGCAACGTAAGGAGATGTAGTCTCATGGTAGCCGGTGGCCAACAGTTGGTTCATACGCCATTTGTTCTCTCAGGATACTGGAGCCCATGTGCACCATTGGTTTAGAGTTGTGGTTTTCCAACTCTCCTATGTGGACTCTCCATGTCTACTAACCCAGTTAAAGCACCGGACATTCGCTTTTCGTCCTCTCAATTTCGTAAACAACACTTCCGCCACGAGAAGGCAATGAGTAGGATTTCCCTGGCAGAGGCTATATACGCGTGGTCAACGTGAATCACATTGCCAGATAGAGAACGGTGACTTATAAAATTCAAGCTGTTCGACTTTCAATCACTTCTTTGTAAGTTTGAATCTCACTGAACCTACTTCAGTATGAGCAACCTCATACTTAGAGTATACAGAGGCTAAGTAAATCAATCTGATATTTAGAACAACCAATACCACATAATTACCGGTCGAAAATACTGAAGCGTAAACTAATTTCAAGCCAAAACATACAATTTTTTAACACCAAAAAAAAAGGAATAAGAAGGTTTTAATTACTAACCGATTACTATCCAATTTATTGTTTAAACGAAGACATACATTAACAAATTCCTCTGGACATTTACTAGCTAAACATGATGCATGATCATATAAACGATTTAAACAGTTTGGATAAGTGGCTAATATTTTTAAGGCATCACTATACATACATTGACGCATATAATGATCCACTAAACGAGGATAATCTAATTTGTTAAAATAAGAAAAAAGAAAGACAAACGAAAGACGTCTGAATAAGTGAACAAACAATTGAAAACAATTACCGACAAATAACCGTATCAGTATGGTGAAATTTAATCCCATGTAATAGATGGTGGTTGGAGGTAGTTGACAAGAAAACCCTGAACCCAGGTTTCGTGCTAGTTGACACTCGTCTACAAGGTGTACCTGTAATCTTGAGGGAACTAGTACTCCCTGGCGGATTCGATTCCGTGTCACCCAGCTTCATAGTCAGAGACGTTACCACTGAGCTATCCAGGCCTCGACCGACCTCCTGTAGGACTGAGATGTAATCACAATTGATTGATCACTGGGTAGTAACCAATGTCATGCGTGTCTAGTCCTTATTATTAGTGCAGATCGAATGCTATCGACTATGTTGCAATGTGGCCATCAGTCTAAGTGACTCGACACTGCTGGCACGATTGTGAGATTAGACGGTGGTTGGAGGTAGTCGACAGGAAACCCTGGAACCGGGGTTTCGTGCTACTTGGCACTCGTCAGCAAGGTGTACCTGTAATCTTTGATGGAACTGGTGCTCCCTAACGGATTCGATTCCGTGTCACCCAGCTTCATAGTCAGAGATGGTACCACTGAGCTATCCGAGCCTCGACCGACCTCCTGTAGGACTGAGATGTAATCACAATTGATTGATCACTGGGTAGTGACCAATGTCATGCGTGTCTAGTCCTTATTATTAGTGCAGATCGAATGCTATCGATCATGTTGCTATGTATTTTATAATAACAACAAATAGTTCCAGTTAGTCATTGTCAATGTAAAGATATGCGATGCATTTGAATATACCTCACAGAAATACAGAAAGAGAGAAGATCCACTATAGGAAAAGTAAAGGTGAGGAATTAACTTCAATTGCACTAAAGATCTAAGTAGGCCTTTACCTTATTTTCAACCAACTATTTGTGACAAATAACGTCACAGGTCACGGTAATCGGTAGCTAATCATGACAAGTAGTTCAATACTAGAAGGTTTGTGAACATACTTTCCGAGAACAAGAATGACAGTCAAAACCAAAACACACGCGATAGTTAAATGATCCGATGTAAATATGTCCCTAAGACTACAATGACCAAAAGGTATACTGGAAAGTTTGATATCACTTATACAGTCATAATCAACATAAAGGCTTGGAATAATGTGAGTTAGGTCAGATTATTATTTCACCTTAGTACAAGAAAATGAAATTACTTAAGATGAAAGAGTTGAAGTAATAACGATAATGATATTGATTTAGAACAAACAACGGTAATATATTTTGATGAGGTGGTAAGTATGGAGAATTACTAAAAGTCAAGATCTAGAAGAAGACAAGTGAATTCATCTACATTATTGTAACCGATTCTGAACCATATCACCAAACAATTCCAACTACCGAATGAAATAACCGTATAGACGTTATTCAAATAGTCTACATATATCAACACCGCTCAATCCCAAAATGAAATACTTCATGAGTTAATGTCATGGTCTCGGTCTGACCGATTTTAACTTTCTTTTAACCTATTCTTATATTAGTTAACATCTTGGTGGTTGGACAAACGTAACACATATCCCAATCACAGTAAAAAGTTCTTTCCATATTACGCGCCTTTTCTCATGTGTTCAAGTTACCGTGTAGAATGAACCCAGGTTTATTAGAAGAGTTTAGGAAACTGATTCAACTTACCTTTCATTAATTCCATAAAATAAACAAGTTCATCATTTTCACCATGATTTTCTAATAAATCGTATATCAAAGATTTTGCTTCTGGTAAAAAATTCTAATATAAATGTATAGAAAATCATACAAAAATACATTTATTATATCATATATCTATATATGATAAAACAAAATACAGTTATAATTCTTAAAGTTTCTTAGATGACCACTAACCTCGCCTTTCATCTAGAGGTCTAATCCATAAGGCCTCCAAATGCCCTGGTATGGCCAAGAGTGTGGTGGGCCCACCCTCCCTCTCGAAATGCTCTCACATGGACACGCGTATATAGCCTCTACCAGGGAAGTCCTACTCACTGCCTTCTCTCGATAGAGGTGTTGTTCACTAAATTGAGAGGACGAAAAGTGAATGTCCGGTGCTTTAACCAGATCCTAAACCAATGGTGAACATAGGCTAGCTCCAGTATCCTGTGAGAACAAATGCCGTATGAACCAATCGTTGGTCACCGGCTACAATGGAACTGCATACCCTTACGATGCTCCACTGCCTTGTGGGTTAGACCTTTAGATCGAAGGCTCGGGGTGTGGCCCCTTAGGAAAACCACCACCTACTTCGGTCTGGGCACCCGGGCAGTATCACAGCCCTCACACAAATCCAATGAGATCTGTGTGGCGCATATATATATTTGGTGCCTCCTTGTACCAATATCTATATGTTAAAATAAATAAATAGATACATAATAATGAGAAATCTAATACTAGTTAATAGATCAATTGTCGAATGCTGTTTATTCAAAGATAATTAATTCATAACGTAAACTATCTTTTCAAAGTGAAAATATTGAAAATAATTTAACAATGATATATAACAACAATTTATCACTACAGGGTTGTGGAGATTATCAAGTTTTTGTTTGAATTCATGAACCAATTAATGTTAGACCATCATTGAAAACCTAGAAGCACTGGACAATTGTTTCGTCCTATTATGGGACTTCTCAGTAGCAGTGCACCACCACGATCTCGCTCACAGAATTTCAGCAAGGTTTTCAATGATGATCTAACTATTAATTCATTCATAATCTCAATTATATAACACTTTATGATTATATTATAAATATATACTATTTACTTACCAATACATCAGGTAATACTATAATTGTACGAAATTCATGTTGTACATTAGCTAAACGATTTTGTAATGTTAATTTAATTTTCTCCTCATAATCATTCTTATTGTTAACGTTAATATTTCCATCACAAATCATTTTGTTATTTTGTTGATTATCATTAACGATTTCATCATGATCATGATCATCATCATCATGATCATGATCATCATTATGATCCAGTTTTATGATCATCTTAAGACGATCATGTAAAACACTTAATTCAGTTAATAATAATTCTATTAACCATATTGCTAATAAAATAATTTGACCTGATAAATTTACTATTAATGGTTTATTGATATGATTTTTTTGTTCTATTAAATAATCTAATTTAGATGATAAAAATATTTTTAATGGTGTAAATATACTACTATTATTACTACTATTATTATTATTATCATTATATGAATTGATTGATGTACTAATGAATGATTTATATTGTTTTGATTGAATCAATAATGCTTCCATAATATCATGATCATCATTAATTTCATAACCTTGTTGAATAAATGTAGATGGTATAAGAGTTGATGAAAGATCTATTGTATGTGTTGTTGTTGTTGTTGTTGTTGATGAAGATAAGGACGATGATAAATGAAAAAAACGTAATGCAATTTGTTCAAATGGTATAGAACTACGAGCAAATAATTTAGCTGCAAGTTCATAACTATTAATGAGAAAGAAAAGAGAAAAAATAAACTATTGTCAATAGGATTACATATATAGATACTTTCGAAGTATTGTTTATGTTATGTTGGAATCATTGAGTGAGCAATGTTAAGGTTAGATTGAGGGTAATAAATAACTTGATGAGATAGTGAATCTTTATTGATGGAGGTGGTTTGAACAGAGATTTTACGTATACTCAACGACTGGATGCCTCGACTCGATATAGTAGTTGGTGATGATAGTGAGATCAGTTTGTGAAATCTTTAACTATTAGACTGAGCAGTGTAGTTATATTTAGACTATATCACCAGATTCAGCACGATTACCTGACTGTTGCTGCTACCTGGATGTGGTGGTCCTACTTGCCTATCGTAATGAACCAACAAAGTTGTACTGGTTGGAATAATCGTTTCTCAAGGTCCTACCATGACAGACAGGTCGGTTGAAGAATTGTAAGACTAAAAGCAGTAGACCCAAGGTCTGAGGGCAAAGTCGTACTGCTGACTGTACACAGGTGTGACGGTAGTAAGGTGTTTCCTTCAGACAACCAGCATAACAGCGACGTTGCTGTCCCACAAAGAGGGGTGAGATTAGAAAAGGTCGACCCTCACCTTAATTTCACGGATCTCCGTCTCCAGCAGTAAGGGCCCAACAAGCACGGAGCTAGAACGAAAACTACTCACAAAAGGTAATGTGTGACCGACCTTAAGCAGTTGTCGCTTGGGCACTGCAGTCACTAAGACAAGCTCGAATCCAATTTCCTTTTCAGGTACCTCCAGAAGGACCTTTCCACAGTGTGGGCAGCCGGGAAGTGATAACAACTCTCATACCTCTAACAGCACTCAAGGCCACTGCATTCATAAGCAGTTTCCCCCCCCCTTGAGCTACAAATCTTCTTCCGTCAAGACTGTCCACTATCACCAACTTTGTTCAACTTTATCATACACATATTGATGGAAACAACGTTCTGGTCGACTGAATTTTTAGGAAGTAATCTCCTACCAGGAGATCCACTTGTCGACTTAGAATACGCAGATGATATGGTCCTGTTTGGTGAAGATGCTGATAAAATGCAGTCTTCTGGTATCACTGAGCAACAATTCCAGAAAGTTTGGGATGCGTTTCTACCTCTCTAAATGCAAATTGTTGCTTCAGGACTGGCCTGCGTCAACACCTGAACTAAGGATAGGGAGTGAAGTATTCGAAGGCATGATATCCGTCTATCAATTAAGGGACGAGTATACTGTGCTACAGTTGGTTCTGTTCTACTTTATGGCTGCGAAACGTGGTCATTAAGAGTAAAAGATACTCGTAAGCTACTAGCATTTGACCACAGACATCTTAGAAATATCGCTCGCATCGACAGGGATCACCGGGTAATTAATAGTGATACTAGACTCAGTGTATTAGGGGATGATGGTAAATGAGTTGGTGAGGTCGTGATTCTGCACTGACTGAGATGGTTGAACCACGTGTTACGTATTTCTGAACACCGATTACCACGACGCGCAATGCTGACTAGTGTTGGGGATGATTGGAAGAAAGTTAGTGAAGGCCATACTAAAACGTGGCATTAGTCCTTGAAGTCATGGTTATCGCAACCAATAGTTGGAGACTCTGGTCGACATGGCTCAAAATCGATAAAAATGGCGTGGGTGTATACACTCTCTGCCTTCCCTTAAACCGTGAGATCGAAATTGATTTATGCCTTTCTTTCTACGAACTAATTCTTTCTTCCTTTATTATATCCTTATACACAATCTTTCTTTTATATATTGCTACCATTGAAGTAACTACATCTATGAATTTGGTGTTTATGTTTTTGTGTTAATGAGATGTGGAAACTTGGATCGATGCACATATGTGCCTAGTCCTATGTTGTAGCCGACTGACAGACAGACTCAGTGCGACTAACGAAGCCAATGGTTAGAGACGTTGGGTGACCGAGATCAAAATCCATTACAATAACTCGAATGAATCCACTCTTTCGTCATCTCCTAGATCTTAAGTTTTGAAATTATCTCATCATTTTTATTCCACGAATTCATTCATTGTTCTCAAATCATATTACATATACCTAGTGTTTTCAACTGTCACTGATACTACATTGACATTTATCTCAGCAACTGTGTTGATATGATCTGGAAACTTGAACAGATGCATATATAATAACTCAAGTTTTAAGCTGTTTATGATTAAATAATGTATATAAACTGAAGGCTTTAGAACTAATACCATAGTATTTTTCCATTTTAGAATGTTATTGAACATTTGCTTGAATGATTTAAGTCAGTGAATTAAAAGCTAGAAGTAAATAACTTTCAATCCATTGGGTTGGTAGGTTCGAATCCTGCTTCTCCATCTATTTAGATTTAGACAGGTAGGTAATAGTTTCACTGACTCTAATATCTAAACAGTATCTCAGAACCGACTAACCACTTTAAAATCCTTTCCATGGAAAACAATCTCATACTCTATAGGTTCATCGATTCAATTTTTGTCCAACTCTTGTTTATTATTTGTTTCCAATCAGAAGAAATAACATCATTAAGCGTAGAATGTGAGCGGAACTTTACAGCAATAAACGATATTCCATACAATCGCATAGATGAATGGTCATTACAAGCCTCTGATTACATTATAGAATATTTAAGTACGCAAACATGGGTGTTAGGTAGGGATAGGAACTGTAAATAAACTCAATATAATTACAGTGTGGTGTGTGCTATTTATGTAGACATAAGTAGTATATGATGTTAGTCGTGAACAGAATGTCTGGCGACATAGAGAGACAAGAAGATCGAACAGTAAAGAATGAAGACAGAATGCAATTTGTGTGAAAATGCAAGGACAAAGGAGGTCTGAGTCATTTGAGACAATTAATAGACATTTTGCTAATTGAGCATTTACACATATGGTTGTTAGATTTCACTAACTAGTTCTGTAATTTGTGTGTCAAATACATTCGATTGTCCCCCATTAGCATTCTGTTCACTACATTTGGTGTCGTTGCCAATCGGGAGAGGGAAAAGGTGTTGTTCTGTGGACGCCATCGCGGGCCTGGAGCTGAGGTTCTGGTTGGGGCAGTCTGGTGCGGAGAGGTGGCGTCGAGTGGAGTATTCTTGTTCACTACAACCGTAGGTTAGGTATCCTGTTTTCTTTTATTTTTAAGTAATCTAGGAGACTTAACAGTTTCAGAAATCAATGAGAATAAATAATTGTTGAATGTAGGACAACAAATAAAATGAGTTTACCATTAAAATTATACTTACTTTCCATTATCAAAATTATATTCCGCTTCACGTATATTGATGGTATCTATTTGATCAGGATCCTTTTTTTCATGTATGGAACAAGAAGAAATAAAAAGTTGATTAATAAATACGATCAAGATGATATGATAACAAGAATAAGGTAATATTACCCATTCCAAGTAAATAGGATAAGGTGATGGTTAGAGGTAGCTGTCATCAGACCCTAGACTTAGATTTCGTCCTATATGGTACTCATCAACAAGGTGCTACTTGATGCATTCGGTCTTAGGTCACTCAGCTTCACTGTCAGAGACGTAAACACTGAGGTATATGGGCCACGACTAACCGCCTATAGGACTAAAATGTATTTATGATTGATCGATCACTCAGTAATGACTAATGTTATTTATTACAAATCCTTCTAAGTTATCAAGACGACCCACGAGTGAACTCAAAGAAGCTCAGAAACAGCCAAAGACATTCCGTCCAATCATCTTTGAGAAGAACATCCCACCGTCTCGACATGTACCATTCCTATTGGACAAATGCTAAAAACCACTTTATGCAGATTGAATAGCTGTAATGATAATTTCGTTTTTACTAAAAACTATAAATAGCTGAGAGTTTTGTACTACATTTGACACTGTTTGGAATAACATTCTTCGTCACTCGTCTTCTGTCTTCTCATTTAAGACTTGGAGGGTTCTAGCGTTCAAGTGCTCAAATACTACGAGGTAATATCAAGAATCTAAATTCTAAAGATAACAAGGTTTCCATTGAATTCCATTGATCAAGTCGCTAAGAAGAATGAGACAGAACTGATTTGCAACACTGGCTAAGATTTAATAGTTGTTCGATTTGATAATAGAAAGATGAAATGAGATATCCTCGTTTAGTCAACACAATTGAAATCTAACTCATATAGAAAATAATAAGTTTCCATACTTAGTTTTGAATATTAACACGAATGTAGACTGATCAAACATATCATGATTACTCTTATTGTCAATTAACTTACTTTCCAGGTACAAGTTTATCTTCTTGACTTTGAGATAATCTAAGTATGGGAGCTAGTGATGCTACACCATTGATCAAGTGGAAGGAGGTAGGACGATGTTCAAATATGAGACAAAGTGGTGTAATGTCAAACTACTGCTTAGATGGAGCACAGACGTTAGATAGTAAAATGTCCATAATTTAAAGGTATTAGACATTCATATCGTTTTTAGCAGGATAAAAATGCTGTTTAGACTTTGGAAAAGCTGAATTAATGTTCAGTTTTCCTGAAACCAGTAGAATATTGTTTTTCATAATGACCACACTAGCTTAGTTAAACTCTATTTCCATATATCACTTAAAAAGCACAGGTTTTAATCTATGATAGACTTATTTTATTATCTTCAGATAACGTAAGTTTATTGACCAACAAACACGGAACCTGGACGAAATAAAATGTCTTATCAGTTGACTTTCTTACGACAGTGACTCATGGGATTATAACATCGAAAAGTGTTGACGTTTGATAATAAGGCAAACAGTTTAGCAGATAGATTGATGAGATGATAGATTCTTAACATACTTCATCTCATTCACGAGTTGTTCCTGACTAAAGACCTTTTCTGTTAGGGTAAACTAAAACATGTTTAGATTTGAATGTTATACGAACTACAACACATTGAATATTACTCACACTCCTATTACTTAGCTTTTTTACAAGGTTCTTTTCTACGGGATGGGTTTGTTAACCGCATGCTCAATTCTTCTCATTAGCCAGGCTTCGAACTGACAGTAAACTTAAAAGTGTTGTATGCGGAGAAAGGACAGTATCCCTGCAACTCAAGAACATATAGAACTCAAAACAACTGTCGACCAACACCAAAGTCAAGATTTTCAATACAAACGTCAAGACCATTAGTTCCATTCTATGGAGTTGAAAATTGAAGAACTACTACAACTATCATCAAAAACGTACAGGTAATTATAAACAATGGTCTACGCAAGATACTCCAAATCCGTTGTCCAGATACCATCAACGATAACCTACTGTGGTAAAAAACGAACCAGCTTACATCTAAAGAGGAAATTAGGAGAATACACTGGAGGTGGATAGAATATACATTTCAGAAAACATTAGACTGAATCATGAGGCAACCTCTAATTCAGAATCTTGGAGGTGAAAGAAGAGAGGCAGACAAAGAATATATCTCGCCGAGTATTGAAGGCAGATATCAAATGAACGAATACCACTCATTATTCTTATCAGGGCATCACTCCTACAATACAACATAACGAGCATCAACCTAATCATACATGATGGAGAAGTATCAGAAGAGGTGGAAAGTCCCATTTTCTTGGACAGTAACGGAGATAAACAAGTAGAATCTGATACAAAATTAGAAGGTACAGATTGGCAAGAAAAGAGCAGTATTCCTACAATTAACTGTCAATCTACATCAAAATCAGGATTTTCAATACAAACGTCAAGACAGTTAGTTCCATTCTACGAAATTGAAACTTGAAGAACTACTACAACTATCATCAAAAACGTACAGGTAATTATAAACAATGGTCTACGCAAGATACTCCAAATCCGTTGTCCAGATACCATCAACGATAACCTACTGTGGTAAAAAACGAACCAGCTTACATCTAAAGAGGAAATTAGGAGAATACACTGGAGGTGGATAGAATATACATTTCAGAAAACATTAGACTGAATCACGAGGCAACCTCTAATTCAGAATCTTGGAGGTGAAAGAAGAGAGGCAGATAAAGAATATATCTCGCCGAGTATTGAAGGCAGATATCAAATGAACGAATACCACTCATTATTCTTATCAGGGCATCACTCCTACAATACAACATAACGAGCATCAACCTAATTATACATGATGGAGAAGCATCAGAAGAGGTGGAAAGTCCCATTTTCTTGGACAGTAACGGAGATAAACAAGTGGAATCTGATACAAAATTAGAAGGTAGAGATTGGCAAGGAAAGAGCAGTATTCCTACAACTAACTGTCAATCTACATCAAAATCAAGATTTTCAATACAGACGTCAAGACATTTAGTTCCATTCTACGAAGTTGAAACTTGAAGAACTACTACAACTATCATCAAAAACGTACAGGTAATTATAAACAATGGTCTACGCAAGATACTCCAAATCCGTTGTCCAGATACCATCAACGATAACCTACTGTGGTAAAAAACGAACCAGCTTATATCTGAATCAGAATCTTGGAGGTGAAAGAAAAGAGGCAGATAAAGAATATATCTCGCCGAGTATTGAAGGCAGATAACAAATGAACGAATACCACTAGGGAATAACAAGAAAGGTGAGCCCAGGAGGATAGAGTTAGTTGGGGGAATAGTGATCGGTGACCTATGCTTCACGAGGGGGCGATAAGCTTCAATAACTAAGTTAACTAATTTCATAACATAACATACCTGACAAAATTGCCGAGCTTCATCAAACTGTAAACGATCTAAATAGATTTGCCATATTCTACATAATTCATTCTTTATATTTAATCGAATCAAATGATTATTACTGAATATCCAAATATGATTAGATAATGAATCACGTGAAATACCTAAAGCTCGTTCACAACCAATAATATTATTTAATGGCATTGAATAAATTGCTCGATCATCTAAAGTATTCACAGCTTTAATACGATCCACATATATAATAATAAGATGAAATTCTGTTAAACAAATACCTAATGGTATACCAGGTCGTTCAAGCATATGAATAATTGGATATGGAATAAGTTTTGTATTTCGTGTTAAATTAACCCCACGACCAGAGAATATATCTTTTGGTCGATTTGGATCATCTGTATTATCAGTAATCGTAGGTAAAAGGGTAACAATATCATTTGGAAATGATTTTCTATCCATTAATTGATCATTTGTTGAAAGTTTTGTAAATGGAGGCATACTAAATTGTTCTGTTCTTATATAACCGAAATAAACACCTGGACCTGGAAGATTACATTTAAGAATAAAAAGATTTTATAAAGGACTATGTTATTGTAATCAAAAATAACATAAACTTATTTATCACATACATAAAAATATTATCAGCTTTGAATTATATCATTTGGGTATATGATAGTAGTGTAGTGTATGCTACTTATGTTGAAAGACATTAGTAGTATGTAGCATCAATCGCCCCCAAAATGCCCTGGTACGGCCGAGAGTGGGGAGAGTCCGCTCTCCCTCTCGAAATGCTCTCACATGGCCACGCGTACATAGCCCCTGCTAGGGAAGTCCTACTCACTGCCTTCACGTGGCGGCGGTGTTGTTTACGAAAATGAGAGGACGAAAAGAGAATGTCCGGCACCGGCTTTAACCGGATCCCAAACCAATGGTGCACATGGGCTGGCTCCAGTATCCTGAAGGAACAAATGGCGTATGAACCAATCGTTGGTCACCGGCTACCATGGGACTGCATCTCCTCACGATGCTCCACTGCCTTGTGGATCAGATCTTCAGGTCAAAGGCTCGGGGTGTGGCCCCCTAAGAAAACCACCTGCTTCGGTTTGGGCACCCGGGCAGTATCACAGCCCTCACACAAATCAATTGAGATTCGTGTGGCGCATATGTATTTGGTGCCTCCTTGTACCAATACCTATGTGTTAAAATAAATAATAAATAAATAAATAAAATGACTGGCAGTAAAAGGCTAAGAAGATCCAATTCAAAAATAGAAATGGAAATAGAAATGAATTGTGTACTGGAAGAACAATACAGAGTATGAAGGACAAATAATAGAAATTTGCCAATTAACTATTCAATGTATACTTCTCATATTTTACCAAGATATTGGTTGACCCCACCTTGTGTTCTCGTTCATTACATTAGTACTAACTATCAACTGTTCAAATGAAAGTGGCTATAAGGAGATAATTAAAACTGTTACCCATGGATTAAAAGCGGCTACATGCATGTATATTGAGAATAGTGTGATAAAGAAAAAAATTGCATCATAACTAACTATTATTCAAGACATCCTGATAACTCGTGAGTATACCAAGAGATGACCCCCAATGCCCTGGTACGGTCGAGAGGAGGGAAAATCAACTCACCCTCTCGAAATGCTCTCACATGGCCAAGCGTATATAGCCTCCACCAGGGAAGTCCTACTCACTGCCTTCTCGCATCCAATGTGTTGTTTACGAAATTGAGAGGACGAAAAGCGAATGTCCAGTGCTTTAACCAGATCCCAAATCAATGGTGCACATGGGTTCCAGTAACCTGCGAGAACAAATCGCGTATGAACCAATCGTTGGTCACCGGCTGGCTACCATGGGACTGCATCTCATTACGATGCTCCACTGCCTTGTGGATCAGATCTTCAGGTCAAAGGCTAGGGGTATGGACCCCTAAGAAAACCACCTGCTTCGGTTTGGGCACCCGGGGAGTATCACTGCCCTCACACATACCAAATGAGATCTGTGTGGCGCATATACATTTGGTGCCTCCTTGTACCAATATCTATGTGTTAAAATAAGTAAATAAATAAATAGTGAATATGTAATCAGATTGCTTGAAATGTATTGGGTTCGAATCTTGCAGGGGGACGAGGCCGTGGGTGCGCACTGTCAGTGAGGAGTCTCACAATAGAACAAAACGGCTGTCCAGTGCTTCTAGGTTTTCCATGGTGGTCTAGCTTCAACTGACTCATGATCTTAACCAATGAAAATCCATCATCTCATAATATTGTTAAAGTACAATTGAGATACAAAAGTATATTAGACAAAAATAATAATTCTAACCTGTCATCCAAGCAAATTTACTAGGAAGTTCATCTTTTACATTACGATAAAGTTTTAAATCACTATATCCAAAACTTCCAGGAAATTCAGTAACTTTGGATCCTAGATAAATTGAAAGAATATTAAACAACAAACTTATTGATTAATGTACTCATTAGAATAATATGAAGTCTGTACAGTAAAATTACTTATTACATCATCATAACTTTCAATACACATGATATTGTTTTATTTGAATCTTCCCATTGATGTTTAGGACTGCAATTGATCAGTCTCTTATAGGCATATGTGCATCCTGTGAGTATTGCCTCTATATTGCCTTAATTTACAAGCATTATAAGCAAAGATGGATAGTGACTAGCAGTGGAATCCAGGACGCGCGTTTCGTCCTATTTGGGACTCGTTAGCTGGATGTACCCGCTTCAAACGCCACCACGTTATCCACTTAGCTACTGAGTCCTGATAGCCACTTACTTGCCCGGAGTGAACATCAACTCTGAGATGCAGGTATATCCAGCTGACGAGTCCCAAATAGGACGAAACGCGCGTCCTGAATTTCACTGCTAGTCACAATCCATCTTTGCTTATAAAAGCTGTCAATAGTTTAGAATATTGTACGGCAATATTTTTAAGGCTATGGTATAAATATAAGCTGTTGAAATTACTACAATCTGTGAAATTCTATTAAACTAAACGCTTTCCAAATGTTTGATCAACCAATAATATAACTGAGAAATGACTAAGAATCTGTGAATGATTACGAACATGAATAGTCGCTACAAATACATCTGTCCTTCTGATCCAGAAAAGAACATGTTACTTGATTTGTATGTGGGCTGTGAAACCCCCCGAGTGCCCAGACCGATGCAGTTGGTTTTCTTAGGGGGTCATACCCGGAGCTTTCGACCTAAAGGTCTGATCCACAAGATAGTGCAGCAACGTCAGGAGATGCAGTCCCATGGTAGCCGATGACCAATAATTGGTTCATACGCTATTTGTTCCTTAAGGAAACTGGAGCCCATGTACACCATTGGTTTGGGATTGTGGTTTTCCAACTCCCCTAGGTGGATCCTCCGTATCCACTAACACAGCGAAATTAGCTCTTCGTGCTCTCAATTTCGTAAACAACACCACCGTCGAGAGAAGGCAGTGAGTAGGACTTCCCTGGTACTTGCTGTCCATGTGAGCATATTTCGAGAGGGAGAGCTGACTCTACCCACCCTCGGCCGTACCAGGGCATTCGGGGTGAAATTTATCAGAATAAATTGAACTGCGAATATTTGATTCTTATGGGAAGATCATCTAATGAATTTCCCTAAGTGATTGCTGATTTGTGTTAGATTTTATGATTTTTTTTTAATGGTTCCCTACCAGTTCAATTTAGTAACAATGTACATTAATTGATGAATGCTCGGCCAGCTTAGAGAATAAGATTAAAAGTGCTTCGGAAGCCTTAATTTCAAAGACTAAGTAAATATGAATATAAATGACGAAAATTTCAACCTGGGTTGCACGGCTGTGCTTTTACACAAATCAATTTCGTCACTATGCAAAAGAGATTACTTCTACAATTAAAACCTCGATTACTGAAACAGTGATCAAACATGTAACTGTGTAGTTCAGTGACTAAACTGTTGAATGACAGCCTGAAAACTGATAATTTATTTTATAAGCATCACTTAAACATCTTTAACTGATCTCAACAGACATAACTGCGTTCTATTATAATGACGTGCGATGTTCGAAATCTGATGCTGACATACGGTGTGCTACGAGCTAATCCCCAAATGACTAATTGAGCGAGAACACAAGAATGGGCGAGAAAGTGTATTGGGTTACCGAATAAAATGCACAAATATACATATATATTCATTTAGTATTGTTTTGCTTGTATCTTCCCATTGAGTTTTTAAGACTCCAATTGATCAGTCTGTTATTGGCATATGTGCATACTGTGCGTATGCCTCGACATTGCCTTAATTCATAAGTTTTTATAAGCAAAGATGGGTAGTGGCTAGTAGTGGAATCCAGGACACACGTTTCGTCTTAGTCGGGACTCGTCAGCTGAATTTACCTGCATCTCAGAGTTGATGTTCACTCTGGGACTCGAACCCAGTACCATTCGCTTCAAACGCCATCGCGTCATCCACTTAGCTACTGAGTCCTGATAGTCCTGATATATATATATATATATATATATATATATATATATATATATATATAACAGTCAATCCTTAGGAAATCGATCCATTTTAACCCTATTGAAATGCACTTGATGTTTATGTCAGTTCTGATGGCTGTCGATCGGCCTTTTCATTAGGCTACTTGTGATTGTCACTCCATATGAACTATCTCCTATGGAGGGATTAAAATGGGACACATTCGGTTACTTTTCTGGTTAAAACTCATCATCCACGTCGACCACGTTTCTATTAACTCTTGTGTGTAAAAAAAATTCAAAATAAAGAATAACGGTTATTAGGTTTCTGCTGAAGCGACATTCGAAAACTTAGCTGGTAGAGACAGAATCTAATACCAAATGGAATACACAGAAAGTCTTGTAAAATGACTGTGTCCCCATCAATCACATGTAATACTAAGATGCTAAACAGGATATGAGGTGATGCAATTTTTAGTGCGATTTATCTATTTCATTCTCTCACCAAGGTATTAAGGAATGGAATATTGAAGACGATAGCAACGAAGAGGAAGCACCTTAAAACTCAGACAATTAATTACTAACTAGAAACAAACTTTCTAGTTCGCAAAAATTATGATGATTCCAGACAGTAAGTCTGACTACTAGAATGTAACAGATGTTGTTGCGAAATAAACAGGTACAAAACTAACTAATTTTGTTTCTAAGCAATATATATGTCAAACAAACCGAAATTTAAAACAACGGCCGTACGAAGAAAACAACTTACCAACAGGTAGTTTATCATCTGAATTGAATACACTAGAGAATAGTCCAGTGATAATAGGAAATATAGTTGTATTTTGTATACCAACAGATTGTTGTTGATTATATTCATTCACTAAACTAGACTTATGGCCTCCAGTATAAGCATTTATTGCATTAGATATACCAGATGTAGCAGTATTTGCTGCTAGATGAGATAAAATTGAACCAGTTGTTGAACTGTTAGTATTTATCCATCCAGCAAATTGATACATACGACAAGGTGTTGTAGCAAAGACTACACATCGTTGCGGTTCACCGACTAGTACATTAGGTGAACCAATAGGAAAACGAATCACTTCTATACCTGTTACACTATGTCCTAAATTAATCATCTAAGTGAAAAAAAGTTGAATTGGACAGAAAAATATTATAAATATAGTTAGATCATAGAAACCAGATATATCCATTTAATAATAGCATCACTTAGAAAATGTAATATATGGTCTAGAACTATTCAATGACGAATCAAAAATTAATAAATCCTTGCTTTAAAGAAAATTTGTGCTTCAGGAGACAGTAATCAATCTCAACGTAAAGTAAATTAAACTGTTGTTATGGCATTGTCCAACTATTAGAAATTCTACTTACTGTTATTGCTTTCGGTTTGCCTGCCCCTAGCCTTCTTTCAGCGAACATTGAGTGTCGATGTAAGCAAGGTGTTTCCTTTGTTTTTGAAGGAGTTTCGTTCTCTAAGCTAGATGGTTTGGACGTGAAGATCTTATTGTTCTCCTGAACAACACTATCAGTACAAACTTTAGGCAGAAGTTTCTTTCATATTTCAGCATTCCCACATGACAGTCGTTTAAATTTAACTGAAAGCAGATTTGCAAGTATTAGTCATTGTATACCAACCCAGTTGTCTAAACGTTACGCCTTTGTCGCAAGACCTGAAGGTTTTGGGTTCAACTACCGGGTGGTCATTGGAGCGTACTGCTCAGGAGCTCTACACTGATACGAAATACACAACCTGGTTTGCAATAGCTATCTTGCTAAATCTTATGCGTGGTGCAAAACACAAATTAAAAGTACAGTACTTCAATTACTAGGCCACCACTTCACAAGTCAATTTACCAATCAAAAATTTGGACGGTCACAAACAGTAAAAAAGTAAAATGTTCATCTTGCCTGGATCCAATACTGTTCAATACTTCCCGAACTAAAAAAGCTATCTTCATTAAACATAAGCATTGTTTCAAATATTAGTCCATCATTTGTGCCGATTAAAATTTCTTGTGTAGATAATTCATTTACATTATGCTGATTCCAAGCTATAGAATCAAACAAATGATCCTAAAATACAAAATTGAACGGTAAATAAATATATCGGGTAAAACGTTGAATAGATGGAATTTCATTAGTAACTCTATACAAATTAACGTGAGTTACACACGATTTCTGAAGCTAACTAGAAGATTGATGAAAAAACCATAACGGATAAAAAATAGTAGATTAAGAGTGATCACATGGCTCATGACTGGAATTATAGTTGCTAATTTTTAGATAAAGTTTTACATCTTCCTACTTAGCCTGTTCGTTTTGACCTTTTGCTAACGTTAACATACCTTTAATAAACTTTTAGAAAAAAACTTTTCCCCCAAATGCCCTGGTACGGCCGAAAGTGAGGTGAGCCCGCCCTCCCTCTCGAAATACTCTCACGTGGCCACGCATATACAGCCTCTGACAGGGAAGTCCTACTCACTGCCTTCTCTCGATAGAGGTGTTGCTCACTAAATTGAGAGGACGAAAAGTGAATGTCCGGTGCTTTAACCGGATCCCAAACCAATGGTGCACATGGGCTCCAGTATCCTGAAGGAACAAATGGCGTATGAACCAATCGTTGGTCACCGGCTACAATGGGACTGCATCTCCTCACGATGCCCCACCACCTTGTGGATCAGACCTTTAGATCGAAGGCTCGGAGTGTGGACCCCTAAGAAAACCACCTGCTTGGGTTTGGGCACCCGGGCAGTATTACAGCCCTCACACATATTAATTGAGACTTTTGTGATTCATATGTATTTAGTGCCTCCTTGTACCAATATCTGTGTTAAAATAAATAAATAAAAACTCCCAAAGCCTATAAAAGAATCAGAAGTTCCTAGGTTTTCAAGTTATTTATCAGTTATTTACTTGGCGTTGACCTACACTTTGTAGGTAGCCACTAATACTAACTAGTTGCACAAGCAGTAGGTGGAGTGAGGTTGAAGCCTACAACCAAGTGCCTAGAATTCGACACAAATACCTACTAAACCACTGTTCCATTATTTTTAGATCGTTTACTCATTATCAAGCTATTACTTTACATATACAATTTACAGTCGATTTTATTACGAGAGGTGAATTGCCCTGTAAGTAAACATAAACATTTTATGTTGAGTGCATTTTCCTCCAGAGCCAGAAACGACAAAATGGAAGGTCTCGACAACCACATTTCCGGAGACTTTCGCACCAAGATCAAGAATTATCTAGTTTGATGTATGTTTGGTCCACTTTCTGCCTAAATACATAAAGGATTACAACAAAACCAGATAAATGGTTTCTATGCTAACATAAAAGTAGTGCGATTGACGAAAAATGGTAATTTTAATAGTCATGCTAGAAAGTTTAGAAGAGAATCCAACTAACTCCAAACAAGAACATTTACATAAAAACCTATGCGTGTTAATATATGATCTATCGAAAAACCATAGCGAAACTTCTTAAGAAAATCATAGCACATTGGTCTTGATTAACTCTTTGGTGTAAAATAAATGAAACAGTTTCATCATATCCAATACGATATACAAACACTCACTTTTGTCTTGTTTAAAGGGCGAACCTTTTTCATACCTTTATTGATGTAAAAATTTGTGCCAGACTGCATACTTATTACAGTATGCCAACCCATAGGATCCAGAAAAATATTATGGACTCGGTCATCTGACAGGCGGCTAATTTCAATTTCTACATATAAGTAAAAAATGACACTGAAAATTCCAGTTTCATAAAAAGAATTCTACATGAAACGTTCATTAAATATGATCAAACAGCAGAAACTAAATGTGTGTGTACTACGGTTCATTGAACAGTAGTGTAGAGCGAAAAATGATAATTTATATACGTGAAATTATTGTTTCGAAAGACTAGCTTAAACTACGCTTTGAGTGCATACAACAGGAGCATTCCTTTATTATGTAAGTTTATGAGTGCTCGGTAATACCCTTAGTAAACATAATGATTTCAGCATTCTAATTTTAAACATTTTGCTGGCGTAAGAAGTAGGAACTACTTGATTTTAATGAATAATTTCACACCAATTTGGAAACTCAGTATGTGCTCTGATAAATGAACCTTCAGACTAATAATCAACCATACATAGTGATTGAAGTGATACTTTGTCAGAAATAAGTTCAAATAAATTAACAAACGAACCAAATGAAACATATTTGATTTTTTTATATGACTACCGTTAATCTTCCTGTAGCAAACACGAAATCATGGAATAATATCGTCCATGAGTACTTCTTAGTGCTCTATGAGATATGAGGTGGAAATATATTTACCGTTTTAGACGATGAATTTACTTTATCGTACGGTCGTCGCTGTTTTGAAGTCAGATCAATTCCATTTATCAACTGTAGGACCCTGACAACTACATTGAGGAGACCAATAGCAAGTCATATGGGATAATTAGCCTCACAGAGTTGCACATATTGTTTAAAATGAAAGTTTAAATATCCATTTTAGAAGGGCTAAAAAGTGTCATTAAGGACATGTATTATGACGTTCCCTAGTATATACGCTAACAGCGATTCTGCACTCTGAATGGGAATTAACCAGTAACCACCAGTGAGTCAGTGAACGCAAAAGAATAGATCCCCTCTAGAAGAAACAACACAGAACAGTAATCAAATTATTTCTATCTCTTAATCATAAGCTCTAACAATAAATCTTTTTAGAGGCATCAGCCGAATAGTTTGGAGGTCAAAGTCTGTTTTCGCATATAAAAGCCAAAAGGTACTCGAACCTGTGACATTAAGATCGTGAATCAAGTCAACTAACGTTTCCCAATAAAGATTATTTACATAGGCAATGACAGGACAACTGTACATATAATCTTATAGTTGGTCATATATATGAACACTATATCGTGTAATACTGATTAAAGAATATAAAGAATATTATGAAGTTTTTGAACAATCAAAATTGTAGGGGTAAGATTTATGTGTGAATAAATTTATGATAATGAAACAAACCAGATATATTGTGAGGAGGAAGAGTGGACGCTCTTATTAGGGTGTTTTTCGAAGTAGCACCAACCAGATAATTGTTACAAACTTGGAGATTCGTCAAGGAATTCACTACTCTGTGAATAAAATATACAATAAGTAAACTAAGGGAATGTACCTGAACCACTGAGCTGAATCGAGTGAAAAAATCCCATCATGTGCAAAAAATTCAGCAGACTAAAAAGTGTTTTAAAATGTTAAACAAAGCTTGCAATTACAGATTGCTGTCCATCAGTATTTAGAGTGCCCTTCTGCATAATGTAGCGCAGTGCCCAATTAAGGCGGTCTAAACTCCTCCTTCAGAACTGAGGATGGGAGGCCAATCCACTTATATTAATCTTAGTAATTTATGGTACTGTGAAGATCCAATCTCGCTGTGAGTGTGTCAACAGAAAGTGTTGATATTCTCAGTTCTGCTAGAGTATTTCAGTAGTTCACTACTCGATGAGAGAAATGGAAATACAGTCTGTCTTCATACAGTAGGCCAGTGAGATCTTTCATCATTTTTTCCCTTGTCATTAGACTTGTTCTAATTTATCTGCCTCGCACTCAGAGCAAGGACTCGTAGCTTGAGTCCCATGTTTCCAAATGCAGCCTTTCAAAAAACGAGTATAGTAACGCCAACATTTCTTCATCCAATTAACGAAATGACCCTGAGGCCTTTGACAGTGGCAGCTTGCAGGCTGCCCTTACTTCTCAAGTCACTGTTTTTTAAGACACCCAGGTCTCTATAGTCCTTTACTTTAAATAACAGCATTTCACTTATGTATTTTTATGGACCATCGCAGTTACTTATTTGCATCACTATATTATTGAGAAAATGAGCTCCTAATGACAACATATACGTCCATTTAACCAGTAAGTTTAGAGCGTCCTGTAATAATATTTTATATGGCATGCAGTGTGTGGGTCTCTAGAATGTTATCTGTCACCGGAATATTACTACTTATCGCTGAAGTCAAATCTCTTGCAGTAAAATCTGACAAGCAGTAAAGATGCCACAGGCATTTGGAGTTTTACAATACTTTAACCAGTAACACCATCTACTATGAATCGTACCCACAAAGTGAAATCAAAAGGCAGAAGCGAGTGGGTTGCAGAAATAAAATGAATCAAATTAACCCAAGAAGAGTTGAGGATAAACATCCATCATCCTGTAGATGCTACAAGTGCTTGGAGTTTGACAACGCTCCAACCAGTAACACCCTCTAATATGAAACGTACCCATCAACTGAAATCAAAAAAACAGAAGCGAGAAGGTTCAAAGATATATTTGATAGGTTATCAATATATCAAGGATTGGTTGATATAATTTGGCTAGTAATTGCAGTAGATATTGAACACGGCGTTCCCACTGGGGATCTGATGTGGATGCATGACCGAGCGACTTCAGCTAGGCGAGTCCATTAAAATTAATGTGGTCAGCTTCCAATATCGAAGACTTACAAAGCTATTTATTATGGGGATTTATTTACCGCTACAGATCACTCCCCCTGGAGGGGTAGTGATGACCCTAAGTTGTGGCCATCCAGAAGTTTAAACCCAACAAGTTTGTGGTCGGTAAACAATCTTCTGATAGCTTGCTACGCTTAACGGCATCTTTCCTTATTATAAGGGACCATTTAGTACAATATAGTAATAAAGAAACAAAGTACAATGAAAATTTCGGTTCCTCAGGAACTTCATCGTTCTTTTTATCGTTTTTTCCAGCCTTCCTAGAAAAGAAAACGGAAATTCAAGCGCATGTCGAAATTCACTCGTACACGCGTAAAGAAACATAGCGGAAGAATAAGGGAAAGTAAAAAAATTAAAGATAAACATATTATCAAAAAAGTTCGTTTGTTTTTTTGGAATAAATATTTAAGTATAAGCATATTGAATTTTTGATTAGATGTAATACAAAGGAAAATCGAGATGAAGTAAAATGTTGACTAATCTCTTACGTTCAATAATCCTTTAAATGTCCTAGAAATCTTAGTCTTCTTCCAGAACGCATTGTTTTAAGTTTATTTTCAGGTACTGCCGAAGTATTTACGTGCGTTCTGGATGTTAGATGAGATATTATAAGTGTAGGAGTCATGTCGTTTGATTGTAATCAACGTGGATCGGATTTTCTTCAGAATACGCTGCTTTGAGACGAACGGTGCTGATGCTATCATTAGTTCCGTTTTTATCGCCTATATAGTACTTAGGTTCACGTCGAAAAACTTTGAAGGGTCCTTCGTAAGCTGGTTCGATAGGTAATCGGTGTGAGTCTCGGCGAAATATAACGTGTGTACTATATCGTATCTCGGGTTGGACGACACCACCAGTTGATTGCGGTCGAACAGAAACATGTTTAACCGAATGCGTTGCCTTTGTAATCCTGCCCAAGTAGGAGTTTAGATCCATATTCATTGAAGAAGATGAGGGATCCAAAAATTCTCCTGGAAGTCCAAAGTCGTTCCATAAACGAGTTGAGCTGCAGTGCATCCATTGTCAGTTTTCACTGTATTTCGAATAAGTAAGACGAGTGGAAGAGCGTTGGTCCACTGAGAAATGCTTGCAGCTGATACTGAAGCTTTTAGTTGTCGGTGAAAGCGTTCTACTAACCCGTTCGCTTGTGGATTGTAGGCCGTCGTTTTAAAGCGAGTGATTCATAATATTGCGGTCAGGCAACGAAAAAGTTCAGATTTGAACTGGCGTCCACGATCTGTAGCGATTGTTGTTAGGCAGACGAATTTTGCGTCCCATCGTTCGACGAAGGCGCGGGCCATCGAGTGAAAAGGTCTACGCAAGTTATCAGATATGAGTATCCATTTGAATCTGGTAAAGGTCCAACCAAATCCAAATGAACATGGTCGAATCTGGCATCAAGAGTTTTAAATGAACGTAAAGTACATTTATTGTGTCTAATCACCTTAGATTCCTAACAGCCTACTCCCCCACGTCTTTATTCATACCAGGCCAGCAAAACCGTTCTGCTATAGGCTTGACGGTTGAACGAACACTTGCATGAGAAAGTCTATGCAACGCATTGAAGACAGTGCGTCGATAATATTTCGGCATGATTGGGCGATGCCTAACTGTAGATGTGTCACATAGTAAGGCCTCTTTACCTGTTACCATCTGTTTAATGCGCAGTTTAAGGGTTCTTGATGATCACTCGTGCAGAAGATCAGTGTCTTCTTTTTGAAGCTGGGCGAGTTTAAGAAGGTGGATTCTTTGGAAACTGTTCAATGGAAGTTATGTGAGACAAGGCGTCTGCAACTACATTGTTTGCTCCAGAAATCTGTTGATTGTCTGATGTAAACTGCGAAATGTAGTCCAGTTGTCGAGACTCTCGAGGGGCATGCTTGTCTGAAGATGAGCTTAAAGAGAAGTTCGGAGGTTGTTGATCGGCGAAAATAGTGAATTCTCGGCTTTCGATAGAATGTTGGAAACGCCGTACAGCACAATACATAGCTAGGGGTTCCCTAACGAATTTGTTGTACCTCGATTCAGTGTCTAGCAACCGTCTAGAGAAAAATGCCAATAGTTGCCATTAGTGGTTAACCCATTGTTGTAAGACTCCTCCGATTGCTGAGTCGGATGCGTCTACTGCGATACTACAGGGTGCTTCAGTGTCCTGATGAGCAAGCATTGTTGCTTGAGTGATACGTTCCTTAACTGTGGAAATTGCTTTACGCGCGGTGTCATCCAGATTGATGGATTTCGCATTTGGAAATAAACCCTCTATAAAAACTTACCAAACAGTTAAATGTGCGCAACTGCTTGATGGTGGTCAGTTCTGGGTAATCCAGAATCGCCGCCACTTTTGTTCTAATGGGTCTGATGCTTTGCACATCGATACTGTGTCCTAGAACGTCTAATGAATCAGTTCCGATTTGGCATTTCTGAATGTTTACAGTAATGCCATATTTTGTAGTCGGTCGAATACAAGATCCAGATGCTGGAGATGTGATTCTCTGTCTGGACTTGTTATTTGGCAGTCATCAACATACGCATGTGCGGAGTTGATACCTCGAAAAACGTCGTCGATGAACCTTTGGAAGGTTTGTGCAGCGTTTCCTAGACCGAAATGCATTCGTAAAAATTTGTAGAGTCCGAAAGTAGTTATGATAGCTGTTTTCGGAATATCGTCAGTAGCCATAGGAATCTGGTTATACGCTTTAACCAGGTCCATTTTCGAAAGGATAGTTGTACCTTTCAAGGTATCTGTCAAATTGTGAATGTGAAGCAACGGGTAACGATCAAGAATAGTTTTTGCATTCAATCGCCGATAGTCACCAGTTGGACGCCAATCGGTGCTGTCCTTTTTAGGGACCATGTGCAACGGCGATGCCTATGGATTTGTTTGACAGTCTTCTGATATCTATGTCTTTCATTTAGTCGAATTCGTTTTCCGCCAACCTTAACTTTTCGGGAGCCAGTCGACTTGCTTTAAAGAATACAGGTGGTCATTTAGTCTTGATGTAATGTGTAACGTTGCTGGTTACACACGGCAATTTCGGTTGCGATTTATATTTGTCAGAATATTTATCGAGTAGCGGTTGATAGAAGGGGTCTATCGTGTGCTTAATTGTGACTGGAGATAATCTGCAACCGGAAAAGGCAGTTACGCAAACAGATAAATTAGCATTTCCGTCTAATAGCCTTCGTTTGCGAGTATCGATGATTAATTTGTGGTGCTGTAGAAGGTCAATACCAATGATTAGCATAGAAATATCTGCAACTTCAAAGATCCAGTGAGTGGGTTTGCGTAAACCCACGTTAATATAAACGCACCTTTTGCCATATGTAGCGATGGGCTTTCCTTTTGCCGTCTTTAGGTTTAAAAACGATTCGTGAAGCCGGTCGTTGGAATTCACTGGGAGAACGCTAACTGCGCCAGTATCGACGAGGTTGCGAACTCTCTTTATCACATCTGTGGCGTATAACAGACAGCGATGTTCGCCGGCCACGGTTGCCGTTAATGCATGCCGGCTGGGAAGTTTCCTGAATTGCTTTTCGTGTTCGTCAATCTTGAGTTCGGAAAATTGCAGGGTTTTCCGCAATTTCTGGGGGATTTTCCACACTGGTTATAATACCAGCACCACTCGGGGTTATCTGTCTCTCACGGTCTAGAGACTGATCGCTTACGTGAAATGCTTCTTCGCGTGGTGTGTGACAGTTTATAGTCGTTACGAAATCTAAGATATCGTGTAAGTGTATGACATAATTCCGTAATGTCATTCTGGGTTGTTTGAAAAAAAACCTCGGCACTATGTTCCATGACTTCTTGGATGCGGTCTGCAGATACAGCCATATCGTCTACGG